GGGGGGGGGGGGGGGGGGGGGGGGGGGGGGGGGAAGCACATACGGCTGGACTGCACGATCCGCAACGATTCATGTCAGTCGTCAAACCAGTACGCCTCCCACCACAGCAAGCCGGATTGACACTAGTACAAGAATTAGCCGAGCAAGATCCACAGCGGGTCATACTAGTCACCAGATCTGTACAGGCACCAGATCGACATGCCGGTCTAGAGCCCAGGCAGGGAGCGCCGCGCAGCTACTACAGTGGGCGGGATCCGTGCTGAGATCTCTGAATATCCTGTTACAGCGGGCGGGTTGGGTTCCAGTGCACTAGTTGAAACTAAGGTGTGAGTAAATCATTCCAGAATATCCAGTATCCCAAAAGCTTGATTTTATAATTACTACTGATGCACCATCACACGCTGCACAATAGGTAGCATTTTGTATATCAAGAGAGGTGATATTAGACGCGTTCACGGTGTTGGCCTTGACATGGTTGTAGAAGGAACTGAGAACTGCAGGTCAAAGGTTAGAACGTCATATTCATGTGCTACCCATAAAAGGTAGGGTTAGTTCTAACCTAAAAGAAGAAAGGCAAGTTTTATATATTCGATACCCTTCATCGAGGGATATGTCTAGGTCAAAATGCTTCTGAAATCAAGTCAGGTCCTCATCCTGCCTGTTCTCATGTTAAATGTCACAGTTGCAGGGAATAGTATCGTCTGACATGCGTTAAAGACCGAACCTCCCGTTGGCAGACCTTCGCGTTACGTGTTGCGCATTAAATAGTTCGAGCACGTTCAATTCCAAGGATGGATCCAGAACTAGTTTTATAAGCCAGCAGTGTTGTCAATATATAGGAGCTCATTGCTCAATACCTAAGCTCAATGTGCCCTAACACTTAAGTGCCGTTAATATATAATACCAATAGCAGCTGCCTTCAATGGGAGCTATGCTAACGTCATTTGATCCTGGGCTGAAATATCTGTTTTGCCTGCCAACTTGTTGTTATAGGGGCTTTTTTTACTTCGCCGTTTCTGGTGGGATACTACTTGATTTTGAGCCGGATTGAAAATTTTATCGATTCATCAGAATGATCCGCGTAGATTTGGACGTGAGTAGGACTCAGCAGTAGCTGCAATTAGCTGCAATCAACCATGGGATTTCCTGCTACGGCACAAAAATTCAATCAACGAGTAGTGTATCCACCGTTGGCGAAAATGGTTTGGCCGGTAATCCAAGCACCATCGGTGCAAAGGAAGCGGATGATAGGAGCAATGTCCTTAACCATGGTGAGACGGTTGCCCATGCCGTTTGCTTTGTGGAATTCCACAGCTTCTGGAGATTCCTGGGGATAGAAGAAAGCTGTTGATAGTGTGTCATGTTAGATCCCGAACAACATATCCCTTGATCATTCATGTTGACTTACGTGTGTCCATCGGTCCAGGGGCGACATTGTTCACACTGATGCTGCGAGACTGAAGCTCCTTGCAAACACCCCTACGATATTGTCAGCTGGCATCTTCGGGCTATAGTGGACTGTCGATAGTGTGCTGACAACGTACCGAGTGAAGTGCTCCACAGGAGCTTTGCTACCGGCATAGGAAGTATAGTAGCCAGTGAAGGCCCCGAGGAGCGCAGTGACAATAGTAATGATCTTTCCGCCATCAGTCACATGAGCAGCAGCTTCCTTGAGAATAAAGAACGCAGTTTTGGAGTTCACCCTAAAAAGGCAGTTAGCCAACCATACTCAGAGAGCTCGCAATATTCTTCCCCAATCCCAATACTTACGCGAACATCGTGTCATATTCTTCCTCGCTAATCTCAGTAATAGGCTTCTTCAGCACTTTGCCGACCGTGTTGACCACAATATCAACATGGCCGAAATCACGAACAACGTCTTGGAACAGTTTCGCTACTGCAGCTGCAGAGGTCAAATCGCCCTGGTAGAAGGAAACCTTGATTGAAGGGTTTTTTTCCTTAAGTGTGGCTACTAGAGAGCCTGCATTCTTTTCGCCGCCGGATGAATGATAGTGAAGAGCAAGATTGGCGCCCTCGCCAGCGAGCTCGAGGGCACTTTGAGCTCCGAGATTCTTAACACCGCCGGTGACAAGGGCGACTTTACCAGTGAGAAACATTTCGATATTGAAAGTAGGTAATGACGATGAAGGTTCGTGATAATTGAGAGGTAGAACTGCAGTCTTTGATCGAGAGACGTTCACTACTTATATATCTAGGAGCATGCAACTGAATCTGTGGTAATGTAGGCGTAGTATACAGTATGCCCTACCTCGATCTCGCATTACAATGCGGTATCTGCAATCGGAATGATGTGGAGCGACATCACGAATACTTCACTTCATTGGTGGTAAATTGTGGGTCAGAGCTTCTAAGGTTGGATGTGATATCCCGTTTAGGAAGTCCCCATCAAGAAAATCAAGAAACTCTATGAAGTACATGATGCGCGATGTCGTGTCGTCATACCGGTATGCAATTTTTTTTTTTAATTCGCTCGACGAAAAAGCAATTAGACTGTCCATCAGGAGCTGCCCAGGAATTGACCAGGATTCGGATCTAGCGGAGGTTCACCCGACACAAAGGTCAGCGCCGATCCATGCAAGAAAGCGGCGTTGCGGTCAATCCAAATCACGATCCGATGGAGCAAGCCATTCAGCCCTAGTGTTGTGAGACCCCCCCGTAAACTAATCACTCGTGCGAGACCCTGCATATGGATACCGTAATTCTCGAGACTGCCGAACATAGCTTCATAGCTTGCCATCTTTGCTATAGCCCCTATCAAAGCATCATGTACAGTCCCTGGCTGTTGAACCTCAAGACAGCGATTGATGGATAGTATAGCTTCATAGCGAAGACTGAGGAGGTCGATTTTCATACCGCTAGGGTTACTTTGTAGGGAGGCATAATGCGATGCAGCAATAAGAATAATGACAGAGAATAACGCGGGCTCGGTCATCACTAGTGGAAACCAACTGGTCCTCAGGAGACCGGGGGTCCCAGGCAGGTCAAGCTCGGGAATATCAACTGCCATGTTCATCAAATCTTACCATGTTAACAGAGCCCAGATTTGCTAAATCAAATTCAAAAAGTACATAACTTACAGTGATCGACCAGAAGTGGGGTCCAAGGTTGGACCGATATAGGATAAGACTTGAAGGGGTCCACCCTAAGTCCGCCGATTTGAGGCGATATTAAGGCTGGTGCCGGGGTGAAAGAGTCAAACCCGGGGCGGTTTTGAACTTCAGTGGCTTTCACATCTTGCGCAACACCCAGTTGCGCCGCACCCAACAAGAGCCTAGTCCGGAGATGCCTATCCCGACGCGCTTGCTTCCATTGATAACGCGTCACGTGAGACCGGAACTCGGGCTCTTTGGCGAGCTGGAGGGCATCCCTTGGTTTCTGCACGTTGACGAAGATAAAATCCATCCCCATGATTCTATGTTGTGGTTACCATTCGACTTGCGCGGCATCTCCAGCCGTCTCTGGCAGAGCAAGAGATTGACAGAGGTGAGGGATAAAGCCCACCCTCGGATTACGGATTTTCCGCTGTGGCGAAAAGCGGCGTAGCTGAGCCGGTCTCCACGTGTTATTGTGCGGCAGCAAAGATTACGTTACTGTTTTATCTTATAGAATTTCTACGACTACCCTCGCTAAAGTTAGTTTCCCTGATGGGAATATGATTATGTATAAGAACAAGACAATTATATGCTTATTGCCGGTGAACTGTCTCCTCCGCCTGTTCTTCGGCTTCCTCAGCCGCGTGCCCTTCTTGGACAGCTTCATAAAATGGCGCAAACTTGCTCTTCATCCTCATTCTCTTGCCGAAGAAGTAGAACCCAATGGGAATGGGAACGAGGACGGCTGCGACGCATCCGAGAAGCGTAGAAGCCCACTGGATACCCATTCCTTGGAACATCTGGCGTGAGAAAAGCGGGAAGCTGGCTGCCACCATCGAGCGACAGAAGGTGTTTGCTGCAATGGCTGATGCGGCGCTGTAGATAGTATGTTAGATAATCCCATGACAAGTTGGAGGAATAGAGAGCAAGGCATACAACATAAGATACGTGTCAATCAGATAATTGAACAATTGGATGAAGATGATCAGCAGGCCAAATCCAGTAAACAGGCCACTCAGGGTAGGCACGATCCAGTGTATGGTACCATTGAAGCCAGTCCATCCAAACCAGAAGAGTCCAGCAGCGAAGAGAGCACCACCGAGCATCACGGGCGGGAGACGCCACTCGGGGATGGGGACACCACCGTTCATGTCGAGTTTCTTATTGTAGCCCTTGCTAGCGATGATAATATAAGTCGCGGCGATGAACAGGCCCACCACCATGCCGAAGAGCGGAAGTCCTCCAACACCAGCGTTCATACCGTAGACACCCTGGAAGACTAGAGTGTAGGCGGTCAAGAAGCAGTAGAGCAACCCGTAGATGAAACTTAGGTAGATAGTGACGGCTAGGATCAATGGCTCGTTAATTAGCAGTCGAAGAGGACGAGAGAAGTTGTTTATAATCAGGTCTCGAAGGTCGACTTCAATCTCCTCTTGCTTCGCATGTATTCCCCAATTCTTAGTGCGGCGACGTAGCTCCGAAGCCTTTTCCACAAGGACAACAGGCGGGTATGATTCCTTCAGGAAGAAAATATTCAAGAGGAAAGCGGCGAAGCCCATAAACGCGGGGATATAGGCGGTCCAGCGCCAGCCGAGATAGGACATGTTAATGAAGCCTCCGATGAAAGGTGCTAGGAGAGGGCCTAGGAACACAGTCGAGGAGAACACGGCAATGGCAACACCACGGGTGCGGTTGTCCCAGATATCAGAGAACACAGCAGCCACAACTGCCAAGGGACAACTACCGAAGATGCCACAGAAGAATCGGCAAATCATGAGTGTTTGCAAGTCTTTTGCGACTGCCACTGCGATGTTGAAGACGCCGAATCCGAACATAGCGACGATGATAGGAAGACGACGACCCTGGAGTTCGGATAGGGGAGCCCATATCAAGGGACCTGAGGCGTAGCCGATGATGTATAGAGAGCTGGAGAGGACGGCGACTTCGAGGCCGACGCTGAAGTAACTCGAGACATTACTGGATGAAGCACTAAAAACGGCGGAATCGAAGGTGGAGCAAATACTGGTGAAGGCGAGGATAGCACTAATGTAGCATCTAGATTGAGAAGTCAGTATCGGAGTATAAATGCTGGACATTAAAGGCCAAGCACGAATAGTGAAACGACTCACTTCCTTTTCATGGGCCAGTTCAGCGGGTATAAAGGATCATCTGGCCCATCGAACTCCACAACGTAATCCTCCCGTTCAGGCAGAGGTGGAGGGTAGGGCTTACCCCCACCAAAAGCTGGCAATGGAGCCCGTGACGGTCGCGACTGAAGACTCTCACCCACAGTGAGCGCATGTTGAGCGCGTTGCGTCTCAGTCCTGCTCAATGCTCGCGACGTCCCAGTCCGGTGACGCTCCAAGTCCAGTTCTGTGTTCCGTGATTGCAGCCTATGGACCTGGGGCTCATATTCAGAGATACTCGAGCCAGTCGACGATCCGATAGAGGCTGACGTAGTACGTCTCTCTATCTCAGCCGAGTTCCGTGGCTTTTCGCTCGATAGATGCGATGCTTCGGCCTCAGGCAGTTGATCGGCCATATTGCCGAGGGAGACCGCTTTACCAATTCGGGGATTCTGATCTGGCCGATCTTGTAGATCTTCTTGGCTGCAGGCTCTTTTTCCCCCGTTGGGACCGTCAGAAAGATCGGAAAGGTACCGGTGCCTAAAATATGGAAGGGAAAAGGCTTTTTTTCGCCATGCAAGCGCGGAGAATTTGTTTATAAAAACTTGACCAAAAAAGAAGGAGCGCCGAAAGCAAGTATGATCGTCTAGACCCACCACTTAGCGGCTTCAGCGTTGGATAACTGCCGAACTGCCGGATAAAACGGAAGTTGCCATTAGAACTGCCTAGCAATTAGTAATTAGGGCAATATTTCCATGGATAACTATATAAATTCCAATTCATATTGCCAATATGAACGAGCAAGTTGCCCATATAATTCTCTCTTTCTTCATCTCGGAGTCGGGTGCCACCGCCTCTTTACGTCATCGTGAATCAGGCCACGAGGGAGGCTTTCAAGGTTGCATGTGGCTTGCTCGTGCAGAGAAAACCTTGCTATTAAAAACCTTGCTATTACCGGGCAACTATTGAGTTTTACCTACAACATAGGTACATCAGACTCGCAAATTATCCATGAGGTCTTGCTGATCCCGTGGGACCTAGTGAGGTGTCTGGCTAGACGACCGAGTCAGGCGAAGCACTAAGGGCTTATCCTTTGATGGGTCTCTCGATTTATATTAGAAAAAGCATAATAGCATAATTTATTGATTATATTCACAATGCAAGCCCGGAGAAATATAAGGTAGCTATTCCAGCTTGGTAGGACTGTCTGAAGATTCAAGTGGAAGGATTAATGGACAAGAAACTCACTTCCCTTTTTCTTTATCTAGAGTTCTATCGAAGTGGATCGGTTGGGACTGTTCTTCTTTTAGCTGATGTACGGAGTACACCACGCCTTCCTAAAAGATTGACTAAAAGATCACCTTTTCCAAGGTTCAGTTGAGACTGATTCGCTTCCGACCTATGCAGCAGACTCATTAACCACACATGACAGACTCGACCATCCAAGCCCTAAAGCCTTTCTCGCAACAACAACACCCCTAACAACCATCCCCTTAGCCCACCACCCAAACACAAACCTGGCCGCACGAAACTTCCCCATTCTCATCCCAAAATGGCCTTGCATCTTCTACCCTGCGCTCAATGAAATCTGCCAACCCGCCAAAAACGTGCTGCGAGACATCTCGGATCTCAAAGAAATCGGATCTGAAGAAGTAACCTGCAGATCACAGACTCTAGCAGATTAGTATGTCATGGCAAGTCGGATGTTCATGATTCGTTTGTTCACATTGTATACGCTATGTACAATGCGTCCACAGGTATAGTAACATCTACAAGTGCCCGAAATGAATATGTACACAAAAGTCTCCTTATGACCATGACAGGTCGTTACAAAGAGGACTCTTTCGTCTAAGGCACCTCGACATCAAGGGCATTTGTCACCCTAGTCGCAGAAGAGAGACACCCTTTAAGTAGTACCATCCTATCCTAACACCAACCACTAACGAGCCAGACATCTCTATCGACGTTCCGCCAAAGCTGGCTTATGTCATCTCCAGACTTCTTCTCTTCATAATTCGGTTGACGATCTGTCTACTATCAATCGGGGTAATAGGATAAATTGTAATAAGAGCGGATGACGGATGTTTATGGACCGTCTCAATCGGCGCAGCATTTGATATGTGGAGTGGGTAAGGTGCTGATTTGCTAGGGTTCAAGGATACTTGCGCCCACCTTGCGATGATCGGCGGCGACTGGGGAACCTTTTTAATCTTTATCTGGCATGGCTATAGCGCCAAGCGGACGATCGGAGTCCAGGCTCGAGTCGACATCTTTAGAAGACAACTTGATATTTATGTTGTCCCGATATTTTGAAGCCAGTAAGTTCCAATGTTGTTAAATTTGCTCAGGAGTTTGACCAGGTTTGCTGCAGGCCCTGAGGGTTTCCCAACCTTTTTAAGATTTGAAGCGACAACAATGTCATTTCGCCTTTCTGAATAAAATAGCTATACATGAACAATATACAGCAAGCAAAAGCTTACTCGTTCCTACCTAATTGTACGTGGACGATATGATCACAACTGACGAGATTCGCAGGTGGGTAACAAAAAGCAGATAATTAGCAAATATTTCTTACTTATGGTGACCATGATTCTCGATCAGAGACAATAATGTAGACCTAGTGAATATTATCGCATCCAATGCTAAGAATAGGCGACCTATACTCTCTTTGGAAATTTCCACGCATGAGCTAGCCGCCGACTGTCCATTGCATCGCACTAGTAAAGCTGGCGGCTACATCCTGGTCACGTCGATTGCCCTGCCATCACTCAACAACTTTATTCCGTGTTTGGATTCCCACCTAGTAATCAAATTTGTACTCGACATTGTCACTTATAGTCGAAGAATTCGGGAAGTGGGTATATAAGGGGCAAGTTTGAGGTAGGTTGTACACCTAGAAGTGTCCACGGAGTAGACTCGCAACTCAAGGACGCAGCCACTGCAATGCAGACTTTGCGACTTCCAACTGTTCGCGTCATTTGTCACAGTCTTCCAATAAGGCCATGACCACGCGAGCCGAAAAGTCCTTTCTCAGATTGGAGTAGGACCTGTCTTCTGGCAGCAAATTCAAGGATACTGACTCAGTTCAGGCAATTGAGGTCGTTTAAGTGGGGCAAGGAAGTTGATTACCGAGCATGCTCGTTTTCCACAGGCTTCAAAGATCCTACAAGACCTTTGTCGTTCTTGCTGC